AGGGTAGTAAATATTACCTAACTAAGGACACTATTTATTGAACGCAATGCACAGGCACCTGCATTGGAAGTTACCATTAAACAAAAAATTCATAAGATAATAGTCACAAAAGCTGATGCACAGAAATGTTTATTATTCATGCTATTAATAATGAAAATTTACCAATAAGAATTTCGATCTTCTACATTCCCTCATACAGAAAAATAAGAAACGGAAATGAAAATTTTCTAAATCATTAATATAGAACATTGAAAAACAAAACGTAGAATTTTCGATATTATAACTCTAGGAAAATCGCAATTGAGAATTNGAAAAGTAACACTTGCAATAATATCTATACAGAAAACGAAGAAAACAAAAATATGACTTTTTGTAGAGTTAACATAGAAAAGCTGGTTGTTAAAATTAAGACTTTGGATGTTATCAATATAAAAATATAGAAAAACACTGGAATATTCTATATTACGAACTGAGAAGAATGCGAAATACAACCTATTGCTTTCTGTGCTGCTAATATAGAAGAACAATCAATAAAAATTGGCATTTGCACAATGCTAAGACTACAAAATTAGAAGTAAAAATTGGCACCCTCCTTATTATCAATGCAGAAAGAAAACATATGAAAATTAAGGTTTTCTACATTATAAATATAGAAAGTAAGAAGTGAAAGTTCATTTTTTTGATATCATTAATATAGGAAAGTAAAAATCTAGAAATGAGATTCTCTGTATTTTTAATATAGAAAAGTAATATATAAAACTAACTGTTAGTTATATGGTTTGAATACAGATAAATATGAAATAGAAGTAAAATTTTTCTATTTTCTCACCGCACAGAAAAAAATGCGAAGCACAAGAAACTCTTTTCTATAGTGCTAGTATAGAAAACTAATACGCACACAGCTTCATACTGCTTTTCAACTACTATTCTTCTTAATAAAATCAAGTAAATCAATAGTTCTCGAATAAGTAAAAGAAATTGGCAGATCATACACGATCATATAACAACAGACAAGATTTACATTACGTACGTATGTATGTTTCTTTTATCATGAATCTTATATGAGCTTTTACGATCAAACAAGAATCATGCAGCCTGTTCGTATACGATTCTTAATGTTCAAATCTTATAAGATTTTTTGCTAGCATCTTACAGACAGAATCTGACGAAATCTTAGAAAAAACGAACACGTCAGATATTGTATGATCTTGTATCAAAATCATACGAAAAATCTTATAAGGATAAGATCTTATACGGCCTTACACGATCTGACGTCTGGGTTTTCGACCTGGGTAGACAATCATCTTGTAAGCAAGATCTTGGTCAAAATACAAAGTACAGATATGCTAACAGATCTTAAAAATGTTGGCACAAGATAACTGTATTATCTTGTGCCCAAGATCTGATTACAGGTCTTACGTAAGAATCCATAAGATCTTGGCTGCACACTAAGATAAAACCTGTTATGTGTTGTGATTTGCGGCACATTTTTTAGGCATTCTGAGAGCATCGTTCGAATCTATCATACAGCGAAGGGTTTACTTTTTGCTTTAAAAGTATGTTTTTATATTTTCCCATTTATTTTTATTTTAATTATTCCTCTTCGGAATAATTCAAGGAAGCCAGATGTTTGGATCTGACTGGCTTTAAGTTTATCCGATATCCGTCAGACCAATTTAGGGTAGTCCTCTCACGATCGCCAATCGAGATCAGCATTCTCCAGAATAATCGAAAAACATTTTACAAAAAAATTATTTTCAACATTTATGTTTCATATATTCCATCATGTTGTCTAAATACAGCTGTGCATGCATAAAAAACGATGAATGACTAGAGAGCATATATAAATACACTAATGATGTCGCTTTCTGTTTCGCTGAAGATCTGATTAGAACATAATAGTAAACGATATCTTTTCCATAATCTTACCAAGATCTTAGTTACAGATTTATCTGATACAGCGAAGATATGTACATACAAATTATCTTTCCACAATCTTGATAAGATCTTGCTTACAAGATATTCGACTAGGGTTACGTCTATGTGTGATGATAAATATTTGAGGTGTCACATTTTAATTTTAAAAAATTATAAAATACAGAAAAAAATTTAAATTGAATTAAATTAAATTAATTTGACTTTAAATTTCTTTAAGTGTGATTTGATTTTTTTTCATTTAAACTACTTTAAATGCAAGTCAAATTTATTCAATTACTGTTTGGAATCCATTTTAATAAATCCGTACTAACTTTAACAATATTTATATTGATTAACATTACAAAAGAAGTCCTTATTTATGCCGCTGAAGATATCAGGAAGCTTGTATCTCAGGAGTGAATTCTCAAAGCATGTTAACATATGTTTGAATATCAGGATAGTATAATGAGATCTAGTAACTGTGAAGTTCTCTTTTGAGGATGTTTTTAATTAATCTTTATTTTATTTTTACGTGCAGTCAGTGATGCGTTTTCTTTAGATTAATCGATCTTATGTCGAAAACTCACGTAAATAATTAGTTTTCCTTATTTAAGCATATGGATAATCAAAGATTTTCTACCGAGATCAATTGTTGAAATCAGCTGATTGAAGGAAAAAAGTAGATTTAATGTAAATAACGATAGCTGTAATAAAAATATAAAAAACCAACGAGTAAATATAAGGATAGTCCCTTATATATCCGAACAAGAAAACTAAACGACGTAATAACCAAAAAACATTCCCAGGTGAATGAATCCGATACCAAATCTGATCGGATCTTATAAAATCCGATGAGCCGACAAAGTCCCATAGGATTCAGGTTCAGGAACTAATAACCGATCCCTAGTGTTGGAATCCGGTGAACATCCGATCAAATCTAACAGTCGAATTGGATAGGAATTTCAGGAGTTGGATTTCAAGGAGGTTCCTAAAGAAACCTATCGGATTTTGGCTGGTTCCTGCAAGAATCGATCGGATTCCAACACAAGAGATCCGTGAGTGGGTCCGGAACCCGGATTTGCTTAGAATCCTGCAGGAACCGATCAAAATCCGATCCAACCTGGTTAGATCCAGCTATCGAATTGTTCGTCCTGGGTAGCTAAACCAAAAAGATCACATGATCTTAATCATGAGAAGGATTATCAATATCCAATAGAAAAGAAAAAAAACGTATTCCAATGATATGGATAAGTTAGCGTCACAAAGTGACATCTAGTGACGCCAACAGTAACATTCACCTCAGTTAACCACCTAATTCTAAGAACTAGAATATTGCACATAATTGGATTTTCGTGTCTTAAATCAAATCGAAATTCATTATTTGGGCAATCTATTTTGATAGAAAACTTTAATCAGCGAGAATAATGCATAAAACAACAAAAAGTAAAACAAAAAGTAAAACAACTAGTAAAAGAGCAAGTAGAGCAAAACGTAAAACAGCAAGTAAAACAAGGGTGTGCATGTGGGTGTGCAGGATGCTACCACAATGCGTTTCGACTCTGCTTAGGAGTCTCATCAGGTGGCTTAGGATCTCTAGATCGATTAAGAAAACGTTTTGAGCAAAACTCAAGGGTGTATGTGTGCGTATATGAAGGCCTTCATCACTCATACCGCCCACCTCCACCCTCACACCTACATCCATTACCGTGACCGTGACCATTACCGTGACCATTACTACGGCCCTGCTGTCTAACCATTTGCCTATTTACCTATTTACCTATCTATCTATCTATATGTGGATAGATGACATTTTGGTTTTTGGAAAATCCCAATGATATTATTACCGACATATGTCATGTATTCACTGCTGTCGCCATTGATCAACTGATCAGGTTACACCTTTAAATGCAATTCTCTTGCTCTATTAAATTCAGTCATCGGTATAATGAGATTATTGATACAATGTCGGATTTTATTCATATTGAGTATCATTTTGATGATATTGTCCGTCTTTCAAGATTGGGCCAATGTTACACTTTTTCCGTTTATCATTCATCGAATAATGCTTTCCAACGGCAACACATCTGTCGACATTCTGAAAACTCGGTATAACCTAGCATTGGCATCATCTCATGTTAATTCCCCTAAGTATTTGTGGTGTGTTAATCATTATGGTCCAAATAATCAATTAAAAGATTTTACAAAATGTTGTATCATAGCAATTATGCATAATTTTACTTTGATTATACCTCCAATATTTCCTCATTATCAAGACAAGACACAAGGCATTCAAACCTTTGATGATTTCTATGACTTAGAGCAACTTGCACAAGTTTTGAATTTTGTAACAATTAAACAGTTTATACAAAAAACAAAGGATAATCAAAATACGACAACGATAAACTGCAATATGCAGCAGAGAGAGCTTGATAGAGATATGACGTACTATTCTGAAAATTCCTGGAAATCTGTTGAAAAAGATCACAACATCAAAATTCATTTTCATCGCTTAGTAAATCTCTCCAGTCAACCTAATTTGAAGAAGGAGGAGATCATTCACAAGGCTGAAAATTGTACGTCTATATTCCTTAACATTCATTATTTGGCGCTAACTCACTTATCTAAAGCTGAAAACACTCTTGTGCAAAAACTGTTTCGACATATTCATCGCACTTCATTGATTCAGCGCATGGCATCACAACTAATAAACCAGCTGCCTCAACTAGCGATTGGTAACTTTTCTGGAAATAAACTGACTAAATGGGCAGTTGCTCATATGAGACTAGGCGATCGTGTTGTTATGAGCGTTCCTAGGTATTTAAAACAAATTTTGCATCTAATCGCAAATGGCGTTCATTTTACACATCTGCATATTATGTGCCCATATCTTAACTCTACTGACATCGATCAAGTGACCAATAGTGTACCAGTTGCGATAACTACCACAACACAACTATTTGATCGCGTACGACTTGTGCTTGATGACTATTTATTTGATGTATTGGAGCAGGAAATATCTTTTCAGGCTCCCATCTTTATTGCATCACCCTGGACTACTTATTCAGCGACGATTGTCATGCAAAGGCTCCATCAAAAGAAGGGCACTACATACGTATTTTCCGATGGACCTGAAAATCATACTTTTCTTGTTACTGAACAGAATGCCACCTACTACTGTTAGCGCCACTAGATGTCACTTCATGACGCTAACTTATCCATATCATTGAGATACGTTTTCTTTACTTGTTTTCTATTTGATATGGATAGTCCTTCTCATGATTTAGATCATGTGATCTTTTGGGCTTAGCTATGCTTTTTCGTTATTGCGTTGTTCAGTTTTTCTCGTTCGAATATATAAGGATATATCCTTATATTTGTTTGTCAGACTTATTGTTTTCTCTTCACTGTTATCATTATTTATATAAATCTACTATTCTCTTCAATCTACTGATTTCATCAATTGATCTTATTAAAAATCATTGATTATTCATTTACTTAAACACGGTAAAATAACTGTTTACATAAGCTCTCGACAGAAGATCGATTAATCTAAAGAAAACGCATCGTTTACTGAACGTAAAAATAAAATAAAGATTAATTAAAAGCATCCCTAAAAGAGAGCCTCACAACTAGGGATGTACCGAAACCGAGTACTCGGTCTCGATCAGTCTCGCTCGTCTCGGCGAGACTTTCGGTGTCTCGGTCATGATCTTGATATTAACTAGTTTAAGTCTCCGTTTTTGAACTTTGTTCATGAGACGAATATGAAAATCGATCTATCCATAAAAATATCGTAAATATCAGCGGCGTTATGTGTATTATAGTGTCTTCATTTGTTAAAAACGTGGACGTTTTATGACGATTATAGTTTAAAATGGTAAACACTAGTCTTGAAAGTTACTAAAGACTTGCTTAATCTACGTCAGTGTGTGTCTATCTCGATGTGTGTTAGCTCGGTCTCTGTTCTATAAATTACACATGGCAAACTGAGAATGTTTGTCGATAGAGCTGCACGCGGGCAAGCAAATTGTTAACGAAAACAATGATTTTCCTCTATACATTACCTAGAAAACAGAAAGAGACTTTTACTGCAATTTAATCACATTGATTTTGACTAATTTCATGCACAAAGAAAAATGCTAATCAGTTGAAAAAATGCCCCAGCTTCGACCAATCTTGATGAATTCTTGCAATTTCTGATCATTTTGACTGTCACAGGAATAGTTTTTATTCTAGTCGGCGTTTCTGGTTATACATACAACTAGATGAAATAAAGCCGATAAATTCGTAACATAGACCGAAACGGGGCGGGTAATCGGGGCGAAGCGGCTAGAGATTCTGGCGGGCAAAAATATGACGCGGCGGGGTGGGGGTGAAGCTACGACTAGGCGGGAAAGGTTTTCACGGGGAGGGGGTAAGCTAAATCCCTGAATTTTTCCCGTAATAGAGTTTCATAAAATAAAAACCCGTGTAAACATAAACAATAAATCTGAATAAAGCATATATATATATATATATATATGCTTTATGATAGATTTCAAATAAAAAACAGATTGACTTATCGATATTGAAAAAGAATAAAATCAATCTGCTGTTCTCAGTTCTTGCTTTTCAGCACCCGATTGTTCTGTCAAAGTTGAATGAATTTGTTTTTTTAAAATTAAAATATTTTTAATATTGTGCTCTGAATAAAAAAATCATGAAAGAAATGCAGAGTTGAATTTGCCGACGCGTTTCGTGTTATTTACTAAAATTTAGAAACACTCATCAGGGCTCTGCATTACAATTTTTAGAAAAGCACATTAAAGATAAAAAATCACATAAAAAATTCAGCAATGCACATTCGAAAAGAATTTCTCATTTTTGAAGACATGAAAAATAGAAAAGAGGTTTTCACAATGAACATTCGAAAGAATCTTTCAGTGTTGAAAAAATTATTGCACCATTAAGAAAGATTACAAAATTACGAAGAAGAATGAACAACATACGAGATACCAGATATCACTAGCAAAATAAGATACAAGATACAAGATATCACTAGGAAAATGGAATATCAAGAAAGTTCTGACATAAAAAAACTTTTTTGACATAAAAAAACTTTTTTGAAGAAAAATCGGAATACGAAATTCATATTTGAAGAAAAAAGAGAAAAAGGTATTTAAGAGAAAGAAGAAAATAATAAAATAAATACATGTTCGATTATTTATTTTTCACCAGCTGTTTTTGTAAATTTTGAACATTTCGAGTGCCAATAACTGGTATAATTTCATTAATTGGTGATTCACTGAAATATTTATTCCAAAGGGTATGAAATTTTGTTGGCAAAGTTCGTATGTTTAAACAGTAAGTAAAATGAATAAACATTGTTCTATAATGATCAGTTGGTAATTTTTCTTCTTCTATAATATTATAAATAATATTTTTTCGTATCGTATTGTAATTGTTACTATTTAATGATTGAGTAATATTACACTTCTTGAGTACACGATTGAATTGGCTATCTATAAATTTGCCTGGATATTTATTTAATAATAGAGCCATTCTTAGATCCTCACGTTCATCTAGAAAAGCTTTGAATGTTGAACAATATCTTATTGCTCGAAGGAACATGGCGAATGGAATGTTCTTTTTCATATGCACAGGATGAACTCTATTAAATGGTAAATAGTATGGTTCGTATGATGGTTTATGATATACTTTTGTAAACAGATCAGCATTAATATTTTCTACATAAATATCAAGAAAATTTATCGACTGACCGGCCTGAGCTTTCAATTGAATATTTGAGTCCAAAGTATTCCATTGACCAATTTGTTTATTCAAGTGTCGTTCAGGCCAGTTTATAATAATGAACATATCATCAATATAACGTAAGTATAGACCACCAGCATTTGTAATTTGTTTAACAATATTTCTTTCAAAAAAGAACATGTAACAATTGGCAATAGTCAGGGTTAACGGTGAACCCATCGCACCCTCACGAATTTGATGATAATATTGACCTTCATATAAAAAAGAATTATTTTTCATAACGAATCGACTTAATCTAATTATTGTTTCAATTTTTAGACCACCAATTTGTTTCAGTTCAAGATAATCTAACATTTTTTTGATTGCAAGAACACCTTCTGTTTGTGGTATCATTGTATAAAGATCTACAACGTCTATGGTGCATAACAATGTTTCTTTACGTAGATTAGTTGTTGACCATTCATATACTTGCTTCATTACTTCGAATCCAGACGTAGTAGTTGTCTTTAAACCTATTCTATCAAATAGTGGTCGAAGTAATTGATCGAGATATGTCGATATTTTTATAGTTGGATGTTTAAGACCTGAAACAATTGAACGAAGTGGAGTACCAGGTTTATGAGTTTTAGGCAGATAATATAGATGAGCTAATTTAGCTTCACTTGGTTTAACACATAAAAGTTCATATTGCTTTTGAGTGATCCAATGAGCTAATCGTAAATCTAATAGATACTTGTTTGTACGTTCGATTAAATTCGGTAATGGATCATTTACACCTAAACATTGATATGCTTCGGTTTTCTCCATATATTCATTAGATTTCTTTTGATAATGTTGGCGTGTACCTAAATTAAATACTTTAGATTTATCTGTTTTTTGAAGAACTAAACTGGCCGAACGAATTTTATGTTTTAAAGGTTTGATCAATCTTCTATAATTTTTCTTTTTTCCATTTCTAAATGAAGAAGAAGAATTAATATTTTGAGATTGACTTCATTGATTAGTTGCTAACGGATTATCAGATAAAAATAGTTTGTGTTGTTGTTTCTTCTGTCAATGTGTACTAGTAATCGATGTATCATGTAATTTTTGTAATATAACATTTAATTCAGCAATAAAAAGTTCGACTGATCGACCGGGGCTCACTTTTTTCTCGAAGAATCGAAGTTCAATTTTTCGTTTAAGAATAGCCAACTCAGTTGCCCGTCGTCGAGATGCTGTTTTTGGATCGTTATAAATAAACCGAGGACCTGATTTTAATAGTTCATATTCTTCCTCGGACAGTTTTGTTTTTGTTTCATTAATTATAGTTGGAGCGAGAAATCCTCGCCCAACGATCGAGTAAGAGTCGGGGCAATTATTTCTTCTTCTTGTTCTTTGATTTCGCCCTCGACTCGCTGTACCTCTAAAAAATAAATAGATTGTTCAGCTTCTAAGTTCAATCTTTTTTCTCGTAATTCATTGTAATGTTTAAATTCTGTATAACCAGATTCAGCATCAACTTGTTCGTCATTTTCTTCAGTATTTCTCGGAAAACCTTCAATGATATGTTTGATTTCATCTGTAAGTATTTCACATTCACGATTAGTTGATTGTACATATAATGACATCGCTTGGACGCGATATTCTTTCGTTATATGTCGCATCTGGTTGTATAATGCTTGGGCTTCATTGGAAGAGACTAAAAGGTTCTAGGCTATGTTAGTATTTTGTATTCAGTCCTTCTTCTGAAGGAGGTTCGAAATTAATTGTTTTTTATTGGGTATTTGTGAAAATTAGCGCATGTTGAGCCTTTTAGTGTTTCAATTTTGGATGGTATTTAGTGATTCCTTTGAAAATGTTATGAAGGATTGTTGCAGTGATATTTGTGGTTCTGTTCCTTGGAAAAGCTGTTTTCAGCGGTTAAAAAATGGTTCAGAAAGTGACTGGAACTTTCTGTGGCCTGAATGCGTGCGTGACCTTTTTTTAAAATTAATCGTACTATCTTTCTCTCTCTTGCTCTTTCTGTGTATCTATGTTCGTACGGCGATTTTTTTTTGTGAAAAATTATAAGAACATTGTTGCACGTTTCTAGGATAATCATGGGCGTTGGATATTTATCAGTAGATGTACATTTCGGGAGAGAAATTCTTGCTATGCATGTGTTGCTTCATTGGATCACGTTTATTGAGAAAGTGAAGAATGGAATTTCTCATTGATGAATGGCAATGTATACAAAATAGCTGCACGTTGGTATCGCATTTGCACTGCTTCTAACAGTTATGTGTATATAGGACTGTCTGTATTGATATTTTTCAATGGATGTTGTTTTCGCAGTACAAACTAATTTGCCTTCTTTCTGGAAAATCTTTTCTTTAGCTCTGCTACTCGAACTATTCCTCATCGATGTGATTGGGAAATATAGCAACAGTAAGAGATAACAGTATTACTCGCTTATTTATTGAATAACTGATCGGGACTCTCGCTTTGTTTGTTTCCCCGGTAAGATCATCTCGATTTGATTTTATAATTTATTGAGAATGAGATCATGATATCTTTTCTTACAAATTTGAATAGTCGAAATCGATTACGACTTGTAGAATTCATATTGTGCACCGACAATGATATTTCATTAGTGTTAACGGCTGCTGTTAGTCCCACTCTCAATTATTTTCTAATTTCATCTGTTTTTTTTATTAATTCGATAGTTGTTTCAATTGTTTTCAATTCATATGATCATCAATCTAGTCATTGTGGTATTGAATCTTCATTCGTGATTTTCATTTAACACAATGTATTGATTTTATCTTTGTCTATTTTTCAGATATAAAAGAAATGTCACCGATTCTCTACTGTTCAATTTGTTTGGGTTTTATACTATGCTATTCCATCGCAACAAAGATTGATGTAGAAGGTCAATCATCATTAATAAACCGATATGATGAGCGATCAATCACAAGCGATAAGAGAAACAATATTTTTAATTCACCGTTTCATGGTTTACTGAAGAAAACAAAGAATGAAAATAACATACGTCGAAGAAGAGATGAAACTCATAATGTTGATATGAAAGCGGTTGTAGCAAAGCTAGAAGATCATCGAACAATGATTAATGATCATCGAACGATGATTGATGATCATCGAACAATGATTAACAACTTTAATAACAATTCGATCCATGTCGATACAATACAACAAGCTATTTCTAAACATCATTCCAGCGCACCTCCAGTTTGGAATAGTTGGAGAGATATCTTGCTGATATTCTTTGTTCTTATCATAATTATTCTAATATTCTACTTTTGTCTTTGGCACGTGAAATTGAGACCCTTCGATTTTCTCCTTTCATGTATGATACAACGCTATACCAAAAAACAAAAAACAAAAAGATAAAGAACAGCAACAGTATAATCAACAGAGCACAGAACAGCAACAGTACAATCAACAGAGCACAGAACATATCCATCATCCAATGAAATCTAACATTTTATCTACTTATCCAAAGCTATCGATTAAAACCATTGAAAGTGATTATGCAGAACATCAAGACAATAGAAAGCTCGCGAATTTTCAAACAAATTAATAGCACGGAGAATCATGACAAAAAACTTTTTTTCTTTTCATATATGCAACTCGCCTCTCTATATTTATTTTCCAGCATTAACATTGCATGCGTATGATAATTATTAAATAAAACTTCATGTCCATAACATTGATCTTACAACTATCTCTTTTTGTCAAAGTGGAAGACGAAGAACGCATAGTGTTACCGTCAATAGAGGTCATTCTATTGTCGCTAAAAGTAGAGTTAGTTTCCATTCGCTTTCCATGTATCTTTTTCCAATGATTCATATCTCTTTCCTTTAAAAATTCCGTTGTTAATCCATCATATTTATGTTTTATGTCTAGTTCCTATTTTCCTATATCCGACGACAAAAAACAAACCTACATCAACGAGAATCTTACACATAAAATTCATAATTTATT